TAATCGCTGATCCTGATCTTTATAAGACCCCTGCCATTCAGTTACATGAGGCTTTTGTGGGACATCCCAAATCTAAATCAGGACAATGACATTCTTTTTTAAAAAATTTATTTATTATTGTGCTGAGGATCAGACAACAGGCTCAGCCATGCTAAGCACTTGAATTAACTCTGACCTCTTTCCTTTTGACTGTTACCACCCTGTGAGGCATGGTCACACAAAAATGCTATGAAATATCTACTTTTTCCAGTCACACCGTTTAAGTGTGGCTTTTTCTTTTTCTTTGATGGAGCATTCATTTGGTTGATGCAGATTCTTGACTCATTACCAGAGCTTATGCAAAGCTATATCAGTCAGTTGTTAGCAACTTACTTGATGTTTCTGTAAAGGAATGGGATCCTGGAGGTTCCTAGTCTACTGCCTTTCTGAACTCTGCTTATTTTGTATTTTAATTATTTTAAAAATAATTTTATTTGTGGTTTTGAACCATTAACGTGGTCAGAATCACAGATAATTAGACTCATCCCATTCTTGTAAGTTATGACACTCGAAATGTGAAACTAATACTATATACTATATTAATAAAAATTATCATTTTGTATTGTTTCTAATCTAATGTTAATGTTCTAGGAATGTGTCAGTAAATGTCATAGTTATTTGAGAGTGATAAATGTCAAATTGTAATTAATATCACTAATTCCATTAAAATTAATAATGGACTACACAAACTAAAAATAAAACAAGAATGTAAATATAATAGCCACAAAAGACACTCACTCTGCATTTCTTACCAGCTTATATATGATGCTGGTGCCATGGCTCAGAGTTCAAACTTTGAGTATCACTGTGTTACCACTGCCTTAGGCACGTGAGCAGCAATAACTTATAATACTAAGCAAAGCTTAGAAAAAGCGTGATTTGTAATTGTGAAAAATATGCATCTTACTTAGCATAGAATCCTTTGATTAGAATAGTTTAAATGTTGCAAATTATAAATGGTCATATGCAATGAACACTTTTAAGCAGTAGGTACTATCATTAACTGCAAATTAAGTCGAAATAGCTTTTGTGATTATATTTTGATTTTTATTTTCAGTACTGGGGAATGAACTTAGAGCACACTGAGGTACTTAAACAGGCCTTTTTAAGTTTTAGTTTTGAGATAGGATCTCACTAAGTTACCCAAGCTGAGGTCACACTTGGGATCCTCCATCCTCAGCCTCTTAGTGTGCTGCGATTACAAGCATGTGCAATCACGGCTGTGTTTTCTTGATACTCTTATTTGATATTTGTTGGAGAACTCTGACTGAACTTCCCAAGAGTAGATATTTCATAATCAATATTATTTAAACTCATGTGTTAATTTTACTAGACATTTTTATATAGTTTCACTTATTTGAGTTTTAAAATTTCTTTTTGTGGTATCTTTTTCATTCATCTCGTGATGATGATATGAACTTAATAAAAAACTGTGTTTTCTTTAAGTATGTTATCAAATGTTTTAAATAATAAAGGAATTATTCATTTCTGGTTGCCAATACCTGTAGCTATGTATCTTTTGTGAGTTCATTCAAAAACATTTCAATTTATTTTGTGCTGTTGATGTATTCCAATTTCAAATTGTGTCAGTTACTTTTGCTCAGAGGAACAAATGCATACTCTATTGAATTCTGGAAATGCCCAAGTGCATGCTTTATACATAATTTCTACCTGCAAAACTTAACTGATTTCTTTCACAATCTCACTGTCCAGCACCCTTCTTTTATTTTTTTCCTCATTGAGTGTATTGGTACATTTTAGGGATACAGTACAGTTACATTCATCACTGGGATCTTGTACCTTTACATGACAGGTCTTGGTTCTCATTTTTCCTCCTTACTCCTGCCCTCCCTTTTCCCCCTCCTCCCTTCCCTATTTACAGAGACTTTATTTCCATTTTTTCATTTTCTCATATTTTTTTTCTTTTCCCTTATTTCCTTTCCCCTACCCTTCCCACTTCCCCTATACCTTTAGACCATTTCTTCCTATTTCACATTGTCAATTATACCATTAGGATCTTGTGTACCATTATAGTTTTTCATACTAGAGAAACTATTCAGTATTTACATATGTGACTTATTTATTTCACTTATGAGTATATCCTCAATATGCATCCATTTTCCTATGATTATTCTAATTTTTCATTCTTTATGGCTGAGTAGTATTCCATTTTATGGAAAAAACACGTCTTTATCCAGTATCCAACTGATGGGTAGCACCCTTCTTTTAGGAAATGTTGACTGGTTGTGTAAAATGGCTCTTTTATATTAATATAAAGAAAATAATAATGTTCCTCTTCATTTATAATAGTTTGTTATTCTTTGATCTATTCTTGTTTAATCTTTTCTTATATTGGTGGTTAGCAAATTCATCATTAGACTTTATGCTCATTAAAGAGAGGCCATATTTTTATTTGTATTTCCATCTGCAAGTCTTTGTGTGGTTAAATTTCATTGTCAACTTCATTGGCCACTAAGTGGAATTCTGGGTGTGGCGGGGTGGCTTCTGGGTAGGGCATGGGGCCATAACTTTGAAAGTTTATCTCCGGGCCCTGGCCCCTTCCTCTTGTCTCTTCCCCGCTCTTTCCTTCCCAGATGTATTCAATTACTTTGCTTTCCCCCATCATGATAGTTATGCCATTAAATCAGCTGACCGTAGAATAAAACCTCTGAAACCACTGGGCAAGATAAATCTTTTCCCCTGATGTTGTGCCTGTTACACATTTTGTCACAGCAGTGGAAATCTGACTAGTGTAATTCACTTTTAAATGTTCCAGTGCATTTCTTAAATGCTATTATTTTAACGACAATAAGTCAAAACTTCTGTCAAAATTACTTTTGCAAGGTTTTTCAAGCCGGAGTTGGGTAAACATTTGTAAAGTATTTTAAAAAAGTATTTTTTCAGTGAGTTGTAGTTTATCCCCACTGTCTTTTCATGTCTTAGTTCTAAAATGTTATAATTTTTAAATTTTCAATAAACTGTCAAATTTTACAATTAACTTAACTTTCTTTGAAATACTATGATAGGGCCGGGGATTTAGCTCAGCGGTTCAGCGGCCTGCCTTGCAAGCGCAAGGACCTGAGTTCAATAAAGTATTTTTTCAGTGAGTTGTAGTTTATCCCCACTGTCTTTTCATGTCTTAGTTCTAAAATGTTATAATTTTTAAATTTTCAATAAACTGTCAAATTTTACAATTAACTTAACTTTCTTTGAAATACTATGATAGGGCCGGGGATTTAGCTCAGCGGTTCAGCGGCCTGCCTTGCAAGCGCAAGGACCTGAGTTCAATCCCCCATCCCCGAATCTTTGCTCAGTTTCTGATATATTCATAATTGAAGTTCTTTATATAAGAGTGTGAGCACATAATGAAAATAACTATAAAAATTCAAGGTCTCAGAATATGGTTCAATGGTAGTGCACTCGCCTAGTATGCACGACAGTAGATATAACTTGAATTCCTAGATGGCAAATGTGGCTGGGATTTAATAGTAACGTTAATGCTTTTGTGCAATCCTAGCACTTAATGCTATCTTCGTTTGAGCACAAATAATACTATATACACCTAGATACCTTAACTTACTACAGACCTTGTCAAGGCGGTATGTACCATTTTATCTGTGGTCCTTTATTGACCAAAATACTATGCAGAAGTTGACTTTATTTCAACTGATACCTCAACCCCCTGGAGCACTAACTTCCCAAAGTAGTACATCATAAGGGATATCTTATACTTACTCTTTAAACCCTTCTGGGAAACTTTATAACCTAACAGAGGTTCTGTTCTTCCCCTAGAGCATCTGGTAACCATGTCCAGGATTCTTTCATTTTCACAGCACAGGCAGCTGCTTAGCATCAAGCCTGTTCTCATTGCCAGTGTTTGTGCCTTCAGTGGCTTTCAGGTGTTGAGAGTTGTAGAGTCAGTTATGCCAAAATCACTATATGAAAACTGCCATCAATATTTTAATTCATGTGTCACAGGAACTGATTTACAAATTCTTACCTGTTTCTGTCCTGTTTCATCTTTGCTTAATTCCAGTCTGCCTCGTGACTTCCTGAGTCATTTGTGTACACTAAGTGAGCAAGATACTGTCATAATTTGTTTTATTTTTCCCAATCACTTAGCTGTTTCTGATTAAAGCACACTATATTGAGAAAGTTTGAAAAGTGTTTGGGGAATGGATAGGGAAAAGGCCGTATGGGGCTTACTGTTTTATAGACTTTATTGTAAAGGAAACCTAACATTCACTTAAAAGCAGTGTATTCTGGGTGAATTAAGCTAACATTTCTAATGAACAAAATGAAAAGATTGTATAAAATGAATAGCTTTACTGTATATATTGTGAGAGATATTCAAGTTTGTTGTTTCCTATCATCTATCTTACCTTCCTGCAAATATCATGCAATTTTCCCAGCAAGAAAATGTTAATAAACACTGATATAGAAGCACTCATTTAACTCACTTCCTACATCTTGTTGGCTTTTATAGATGGAAAGGAAACTATTTAGAAAGAGCCTGCTGTGTTGGCAAAGGTGCTTTGTTCTTTTTTGTGGCAAATTCAGAGTGATTTCCTCATTTTTAATCATTTCCCGCACCAGTTAGAAAAAATAGCTCACAGTCTTTTAAGAACATTTAAATTTATTTAAATATTTGTGGTAGGTTCCATTTTAACAAAGAAGTATTTTGTTTCCATAGAGTCAATGCATTTGAACACTGTCTTCATCTTGGACAGTGGGCATAGCGCTCTGCTGGTTTTATCCTGTAGAGAAATTCAATTGTCCCTCCCAAAAGGTAGTCATTTATAATATATGCATCTCTGAATAACTAAATAGGCTACTGAAGAGGAAATGGATTCTAATCTGCTTTCAAACTGTGATTATGTCAGGCACTAAATTGTTACTTTATGAATATATTTATTTTAGAGTGTGTATAATTATGGAACTCTCTTTTTCTATCTCCGTAGGAACTGGGAAGTAACAGCCCTCCCCAGAGAAACTGGAAGGGAATCGCTATTGCCCTGCTGGTGATCATAGTTGTGTGCTCGCTCATCACCATGTCAGTCATCCTCTTAACCCCAGGTAATCTGTCTGGATTCCTCTCTTAGGATGGTATTGTGGATGATGATTTCACATTCAAAAGCTTAAAGAGGTTACCAACGTGTGGTGTTTGAGGGTACAGTTGGTTGGATTTTTTGAAAAGCATAATCACACATTTTGCAATGGAATAGTAATTTTGTAGTTCAAATATGCAGACTTTTGGGGGGGAAGCTGCAAATCTAAATTATTACAAATTGTAAATGCCAGGATTTGCCATCTCCATTGCTAGTTAGAGTTCTATTGTTTGTCAGTTTGATAAATGTATAAGACATTTAGCTTTTATTTGGAATTTGATGACAGAGAGGAGCCTGGAAGTTCCCCTATATGGATGAAAACCCTATGTATAGAAGAAATGGAAATTGAGTTTTGACGGAAGAGCCTTTAATTGTGGACATCTGTTCCTTTTCTTTTCTGAAGTTTTTGCATTCTGAGTTTTGTCATTGATTAAAAGAAAAAAAAACTCTTTAAAATACCTTTGCAGTGATCATTGATTGTGTTATTCAGATTAAAGAGTTAAACATTAAAATAGAAATGTCAGGTGACTTAATTCTTTCATGGGATCAATTTTAATACTCAGAAATTTTACTTTTCCTCATTATATGCCAATAATGAAAGCAGATATAAAGAACTTACTTTTAAAATTCCTCAGTAGGCATCCAGAGATACATAAGTCTGTCATACTACTACAACCCACACAACTGTCTTTTTCAGAGACTGAATATCCTTTTGTAGCTCAACATTATAAAAAATATTTATTTCTGGGATAAGATTGAGCTAGTCCAAACATTAACCAATATTATAAAATTGTATTCTACTTTGGATTGACTTGTGTTTATACTTTAGTTCCTGTCCCAGTTTTGTTACTACAGAAACCCCTTAACTTTTTTTTAAATGTACCAATGTGATTAGCAACACTTTTTCAGGGTCATTTAATTAAGTAATTACAGTGACTGATTATACATATGACTGTTATCAATTATTGCCATGTGGTATCTTGCAAAATAGTCCATTTTTTTGTACAAAATATTGGCTCTGAAAGGTATAAACCACTAACCAGATAGTTTGTAGTTTAAGTTAAAATATAAAAATATTAAGAGATTGAGAAAGAAACTAAGGAAATTCTGAGAGAAGAAAAAGGAGAGAAATGTAATTGAAAAAAAATTAGAAATGAAGAAAATTTCCTGATAAGAGCTAGCTTATCCCGCATTTTCCTCAGGACCTTCACTTGACTGCCTAGATGTCTATCTGTGGAACAGTATAATTCAGCAGTGTGACTCTTCTAAGTTGAATGATGCCAATGATCTTTGTTAAAGGAGGGTGAGCCTCTATCCAGATAGTGTTTCACTTAAACATAAGAATTTTAGCACAATTATAAGAAATGAATGTCTTGGTTTTGCTGTTTTGTGTTTGTGGCTATTAACCAGATCGAGGGTATCGGTGCCATAATAGCTACATATTTCTGTATTTTTTCAAACCTGAATCTAGTATCCTTGCCCCAGTGATTCATTTTTTGAAATTTCTTTTGACACAATTACTGAGTCTTTGTGGGTTTCTTGAGAGTTTGGAATAAGAAATATCCTACACAGTTGAGCACTCATTAAATTAAACTCATTAATCAGATGCATTTTGGGTTGTTTTAGCTCTACAATCTACTAGGTCTTGTGAGCTTGGCAAAGTACTTACACTTAAGTTTTGCATTGTTTTTTTGTATTATTGATGTAATTTACCATACCAAGTTTATAGTATTATTATGGGTGTTAAAAGAAATAATGTAGTCCAAGTTAGTGAAATGCCTAGCACTGCTACTATTGTTTCTGTGATTATTGCAGTTATTGAATACTTGTAGACAGCCACAAAACAAACCAAATATTGTGATTTATGAAGGACATTTCCCAGAAAATATATAGACTTTCAAGTATAGATATTTGTGGCTAAAATTTGAAGTTACAATAAAGTATGAAGAACCACATAATGTGGAGTTGCTCTAATAGAAATCTGATCATCCACTTATTTATTTATTCATTTATTTGATAACTGTAGCTATCATAACCACATTGCAAATGGGATGTTAGTTGCCCTGCACTTCTGCTGGTTTTTTAAAATCAAGGTATGCATTTATTAATTTCAAATTTCTTCTAGAATTGTTTTCTTATTAAGATTATTGGTACATTTTAGGTATGTATCTTTTATCCCTATTTTTCTTCCCCTCTTATACAAACTTACAAGTGTAGTGATCCCACATATCCCCAATGAAAGACAGAATTTCATGATATTAATCACACAAATAGAAGGGCCAATTATTATTGTAGGTTTGCAGTTTGCCAAATGTATTTCATATATACAAATGTGATTGGATTTCACCAATGTAATAAAAAATAAAATCACTTTACTACATTGAAAAATAATGTCAGGAAGAGCAGACATCTGTGTTCTCCACCATCTTTTTATAAACTCAGTGTCACCAGAGGTCTAGAAAGCAGTTAGGTATTTTCTTGAGCTGTGATCTAGCACGATGGCAGTCTCATGACTTCTGTGGTGGATTCAGAGCAAACATGTCTGAGCGATGCATAATGCCAGAATATCAGCAGTCGACAGTTCAAGATTCTAGTTGAAAGTATAGACAAAATCTTAGAAAGTATCTAGTCTTCTTTCCTAATTGAATGGGAAAAAACATGTTTGTTTTTTTTTAACTTTTGGTTCTCAGAACCAAAAATGTATCAAGACCACAAGTGTCTCCTTGATTTGGCACAGTGTGCAGCTGTGCATGCAGCTCTAGTGTTTCACTTGCACAGATCTTAACTCTTCTAAACCTCAGGCTGTGATCCCTCAGCTGTGGCACAATAGCCCACTCGAAAGAAAACCAGCTAACAGACAACACAGTGGCTTCTGTCTAATCTGTAAGCATAAATATCAACTCCAGGTCCAGCTTTCTAGGCAAAATTGTTCTGGCAGGTTAAGTCTTTCAACCAGAAATGGAAATACATTTCATAAGGGAAACTCTTGATTATGAAATTATTCAGCAAGATACTAATTATTTAGGATCAAGAGCTGACTGTTACGTTTTCAAACAAGGGTGTAGATAAGAAACTCATATATGGCTTTTATAGCTGCATGGTATTGCTCAAATCACATTCTTTCTTTGACGTTAAGCAAATCAGTTTTCCCTTATGGTACGGATACCTGAGAAAATCAATTTAAACCCAAAGAGTTTATTTTTGGCTCACAATTTTAAAGGTTCCATCTGTGACTGGGCAGACCCATTGCATTTAGGTGAGTAGGACAACACTTCATAGTGGGAGTTTTTAACTTATGAGAACTGCTCACATCATGTCCAAGATTCAAAAGAGAAACAGGAAGGGACAAGGGACCCATAAATCCCTTCAAACTTAGGCCTCCAGTCACCTCAGAGAAGGCATTACCTGTGAAAATTTCTCCCATTCCCTATCCCATCAAGCTGAGGATTAAGTCTTTAACACATGGCCTTTCTTACATTTAATATGTAAAATGAGAATAACCATTCTCTGAAAAGCATTTTATACAGGTTACAGCTACCAATTTTGACCTGTTTGGAGAAAGCAAGTGAATACTTCATGAATTAGAATATATGTAAAGGAGTACACATCAAGATCTTCACTTTGTCTGCAATATTAAAACACCATCCTATGGACTCCTGTATGCCACAGTTCTTTATTCAAGACATTCTGTTGCCCTTGGGCTTTGTATTCAGTGCCAGGGCAGCCATGCTGTTCTACTCTCATAGCAGACCAAGAATGAAATTGTGACGTGCTGAAAATTGTCTTCGTTGTTTTAAATTTTGGTCTTTTTGAAGCCTTCCCTTGTTTTAGTTCTCTCCCTGTATGAGCATCTGAGGTTAATCTTCGCAGTCTTATCGAATGGACTATTCATATATGCAGGGTCAGAGCTCTGCTTGATCTCAGTGAAGACTTAGGGAAGACTTAGTTTCATGCTACACGTTGGCTTTATTTTCACTTCTAGAAGTATCTTTGATTGCAAGAACTTTAAACTGTGTTCAAATATCAAGTTGGGAAATAATTTAAACAGGCGGAGACTGCTGCAGTGATATTAAAGGTTAGCTAAATCACTAATGTCAAATTAAATTTAGATCCATGAAACTATGCTCAATTAAGTCAAGACTAGAACTAATAAGTGGAGAGAACAATATACCCATTCTATCCAGAACATTCACCATACCAAAAACTAGAAGTCAATGTTTAGGAAATCAGACCTTTCTTTTAAGGGATATCAACTTTTATATTCTAAATATTTCATGATATCCCACTTAACTCTCACATGATACCAGATTTAATAGGGCAATTTTTCCAGATAATACCTTCTCATGTCATCAGATTTGCATAACTAAGGCAATTAACTTATGAAGATGGAGTGATTAAAATCATCTTGGTATCAGGTGACTTGGACTGGTACCTTAGCATTGATTTATACGTATAAATATGATACTGGAGTAAATAATTCACTCTTATTGTTTGAGATATCCCAATGGAAAGCAACAAAATGAGTTGATCCTTTAAAACAAAATTCAAAAAGTTTTGTTTGTTTCTGAGGCGGGGGTGGAAATCATTTTCCATAAAACACGTGATAAAATTAAGAATTTTATTTAACTAGTTACAGCTGATACATTAAAAAAAAGAATTCAAAGTGAATATTTCTAGTTACTATGGGGCTCTACCAAAATAATAGCTCCTGGTTATAATTAGTTAAAATGTCACTTGTATTTTGTGGCAATTAATTTCTTGGCAACTATAATTTTAAATATGATCTGTGTCTTGAAATGTCAAAGCAACAGTTAAACTATTCTTTTATGCATTTATGAGGGGAGAAATCCTATTTTGTAGATTTTATGATTTGCATTACGTACTTATAAACATGAACATCAATCAAAATGCAAATCATTTATTTTATTTTGTTTAATTAAAAAAGAGATTATGTTGTATTGATGGGCA